ATGAAAACATGGAGAGATAAGATTTTAACACCTTAGTCCTCTCAGCTGGGGCTCCAGACACATGAATGAAGCCACTCTAGACCAGCCTTGGCCAAAGGAACCATCTACCTATCTCTAGCCAATGATGAGAAATAACATTTATTGTTTTAAATCACTAAATTTTGGAGTGGTTTGTTATGTGTCTCAGAGGACAATTAACTCTGAATAAGGTAGTCTACAGATGTTTCACAAGTACAGTTATTCTATATTTCACTTTTTTTTTGGCTACACCACATGGCTTGTGGGATCTCAGTTCTTCAACCAGGGTTTGAAGTCAGAGTCCTAACCATAGGACCTCCAGGGAATTCCTTCTTACTCTTTTTGGAGGATTTGTGTTCAATCAGGTTTCATCAAAGGTTTAAACTAAAAGATGAAAGCTTAATTGAGAAATGTAATGATGGCCAGGGGCAGTGGGGTCTTCCTGAGGTCCCTGAAATAGCTCCACAAAGGTGACAGGTTTCAGAGTTATGTGTTCTTGTAGAATGATGTAGCTTTCCTTCACTGTGCTTTGTTATTATATTTTGGTGATTATTTTACAATGTCTAGACTAAACAACAAGCTGTTAGACTATAAGCTTGATGAAGGCAAGGATTGTGTCTAGTTTACCAGTGATTGTATCCTGGCACATACTAGACACTAATTTGTTGAAAGAATATATTTCAATTGTGCCTACTTCATATAAGGGATCCAAGCTTTCAAAAACATCACTTAACAGTATTTGTATCCAATGGACCTGCCTCTCACAGGCACTCCCAGTCACAGGCTGTTGCTTGATTCTTCAGCAGTAGCAGGTAATCAAGTGTAGGTTTGGGATGGGGAATCTGAAATTAATGAAATTCCAGGACACTAGCCGCTGTAATTCCTTCTACTTACACCAAATGGTTGGCAAACAAACAAATAAACATTACTCAAGACACTTTAAGAAACTTGATGCATAAGCAAGGAGGTTGGGGCAAGAGCAGGTGGTATAACTGGGAAAGTCATGTCTGGAGAATGTTCATATCATTCTGTGGACATTATAAGGCTGCAGTCACAAAGCAATTGTGAAACAAATGCCCCAAGTGAGGCTGTTAATTCTGACAATCCTTGGAAATCTGTTACTACCAATATCCCAAATACACAATCTGAAGAGGAAAATGGAAAGAGCAAGAGTCAGACAGAGGTGGGTTCAGTTAGTAAATGAATGACTTTGGCATGTTAACTTTCTCAAGGCTATGTTTCCTTGCCTGTCAAATTGGGGATAATGATATTTCAAAAAAAAAGCACCTCCATTAGACTACAGGTACCTGCAAGCAGGGACCATTTGTTTTCATGTATATTTATTCAGTGTTTAATAGTGCCAGACCTATAGTAGATACAGAAGTGAATTTCTTCCTAGAGGTGATCCAAGACCTAGTCCTGGCTCCATCACAAATTCACTCAGAGTGGCCTGAAGAAATTTCCTCCCCCTCCCTGGGCCTCCACCTTCCTTTTTGTACCAAGAGGAGCCCAGACAAGATTTCCTCAACTCCCTTCCAGATACAATATTTAATGAGTCTGTGACCATTCAATACAATCTACTGCATTGCTCCGCCTAGAAGTTAATAATGCTACAGACTGAGAAGACAGTATTGTCACCAATCACTTTGTATTTACAGATACACATGCATTTAAACCAGATCCTGTAAATAGCTACAATACTGTATTGCACTTTTGGCCGACTTTTGCATTTTTAGAGGTCAAGAGGTTCGTTTAATCTCCTTTTATTTGGAATGTTAAGCGAAATGAAAACTGGGACAAGTTGCCATAACACATATTATGCAGCTTGAACCTAACTGCACTATTACCATGATTGATGAACATTCACCACAGTCAGCTGGAAGCTGCTGCCTTCACTCTGCAGAAACGAGGTCACAGAGCAGGGCTGAGGAATTGCCATCTGACAAGCAGATCTGTCTGTTGCCTGTAGAAGCGTTTGCCACTATTACATTTAACTGCTGATTCCGTCTATTGGGAAGATGCTTGTTCCCTTGAATTGGCTCCTGAGTTTTCAGGATTTTGACAATCTTTAGGTGAAAAATTCAATTTTTGCCTGGATACTCAGTAGGAGAGAAAGGATTTGGATACATGTACTAACAAACCCAGGGGTCCTGAGGAGCTTGGTCTGAAATCCTAATACTGGGGTAGAAGGGTGTGACTGCCCAGAAAAATAATAATTATTCCTGACCTGTATAGGAATTTATACTGTAAAAAGCACATCCAGAAACACTGCCCTGGGAAGGGACCACATTCTTCCTCAGTCAGAGAATGTTATCAAGTTACACCTCCCAAGATGACCCACTGCTGACACAGGCAGGCTACTCACCGCACTGCTTCGGAGCTTGATAAAAATTGCCTGACAGAGGCAGATACAAGAAATACCAGCACTTAAGCCTCAGAAACACTGGGCAGTTTTTGCTCAGGCCCATGGGACCTGGGCTTCCTCAGAGACTCCTTGCCAGAAGTGTTAGACAGCCATCACCTCAGATTAGGCTGAGTAGCTGAACAACTTATTAACGAATTAGAGATATGTCTTTTCTTCAGTGGACTTGGAATCTGATGGCCTTGGGGCTGAATTATACTGTGGCTCTAACCCTTGCTAGTTGTGTGATCTTGGCCAAGTCTCTTAACTTCTTCTGATCACAGTTTATCTATAAAAATGTACTACAGAATGTGGTGAGGAGCACAGACTTTGGAGCCTACTTTCTGGATTTGAACCCCAGCTCTACCATTTACTCATTAGGTGACCTTAGACAAGCTAGAGAACCTATCTGTTGCTTAATTTCCTTGTCTTTAAACAAGATGGATTATAGTGCCTCCCTCACAAAGATGTTGGAAAGATAAATGAGTTAATACACATTAAGTGCTTGGAGCGACACCTAGTATTGAGTAAGCATCACTTGCTTACTTATATCAGTGTTGGATACAGTGATATTGGGGTGATAATCCTCATCTCTTGGGTTTATTTTGCAGATCAACTGAAATATTGAAGGTGAAAATTGGGCTGTCAGAGTTATTAGTGCCAGAAAAGACTGAAAAGATTTCCCAAATGGCTTCCCTCATTTTATAAGTGGGAATTCAAGACTCACTGATGGGGAGGAGCTGGTCCAGAATCACAGGACAAAGGTTTTAAGTCTCCTGATCTCAGGGCAGAGCCTGAGTCTGCTGATTCCAAGTTCAGAGTGCTATCCTCTGCACTGTCACAGAAGGCAACCTCTCCACAGAGTCGAACCTGAAGGGCTCTTTAATGCACTTTCCCAGGACAATGAACTGTGTTCAGAATGGAAGGAAAATTTGGGAGAGACTCTCCCACCTCCTCCACTGAATTCTGAAGCAGCATTTTAGTACAGAAAAAAAAACGAGATTCAGGCCAGGGCTGAATGAAAGATTTTCAGGAATCATTGCTAGCTCTACGTCATTGTTTCAGTGACAAATCAAACATGTCCAAACAAGCTAGAACCATGAGCTAATGCATTAGGTTCATTTCCAGTACCAGAGGGGTTTTCTGGTTTTGTTTTCTTCAGGTGTTTAATGAAGTAGTAGTTTCACATCAGCTCTTGGGTAGAAACCAAAGTTTCACTCTCAGGAGAGTGAGGGACCTCTGAGTTCACTTTTCCCATTTTATTTTCAGGGTTGTGCCCACTTAAGATTTATTCTGCTTTGAATCAGATTTCTCAGCTGGACTACTAAAGAGTGATAGAAAGACAGGTTGGAGGAAAAGGCAGGATGGGGAGAGGACCCTAAGCAGAATGGCAGATGGGATGAAACCTATTGACTTAAAGAAAGGGCAGATTCCAGGGGTCATGATATCTGTTCTCAAATCATCTAAGGGGGTCACATGGCAGAGGGAGCAGAGACTGTGAGGTATCTGACAACAGAGATGCTACAAATGGGGTTGGAAGAGGAAGAAGAATTTCCAGCAGGCAGATTTCAGCTTAAAGCAAGGAAAACTTTCTGATTATGAGCTACCCAAAGATGGTGTGGAAACTGAGCTCCCATCCCTGCCTAGGAAGTATGCTTTAGAAGAGATTGGCTATGAGGCTTGACAGCCACTTGTCAGAGATATGAAGATTGGAATTGACTAGTGAGACTTGGTAAAATTTGGGATCCCACCAACTGTAAATTTTTTAGATTCTGGGAGCCTAAGAACCAACGACCAATGTCATGGAGTTCTCACAGTGGAGAACCCACTGGAAAGCAGGAAAATCAGACATTTGTGACCCATTTCTTGATTTTGCCTGTGTTTCTCTTTTTGTCTTCCTCGAGCTTATGCATTTGCTCTTCCATATAGCAGGAACCTTTGACATTTTGCAGGGGATAATCTTTTTCTTTTAAGTGTGTTTCCTGACTCAGCCTTTGCTCTTTCAACATCATTTAGAGAGGCTGAGCTCTCTGGAGATTAGCTCTGGCCTGTCACCACAGCAACTGCCCAAGCCCTCTGGGCATCCGTGGTAACAGATGAGGGCTTTGAGAAACAAGGCTTGTCTAGTGGTGAGAGGAAGCCCCACAGGGAGCCTGATATGAAAAAAGCAGGCTGTGTAAGGAGTGTTTTTTTTTTCAAGATTAGCTATGCAGGTGTGTCTCACTTTACACAGTTAGCCAGGCCCTGAAAAGTGTGCAAGCGTGTGTCAAATTTTGGTCGAGGGAGAGAATCTTATTTTAAAGGCAGAGAAGAGACTTGCTTTTCCAAGTCCCTGTAGTGAATTGCCTTCGTAAAGTGGAATCAACTTTCGTAAAACGAATCTCCGCCCACATTGTAACCTAGTTAGTCTAGTGCTGAGTGTCTGTGAGTGGGGCCACCGGTAGAGAACCCCAGGGCCATGCTTCCACCTCCACTGCAGGCAAGGGACAGCAGCAACTCAACTTGGGGTGGACAGAGTGTAACAAGGAAGCAGAGTGGGGGTAGGGCCACAATGAAAGGAGATCGGGACGGTGGGCCTGGCCTAGCACGAGCAGTTCTGCTGCAGCAGAGGTGGGGTGTCTGAGAGACGGGTATTCTTGGAGGTGCCCAGCAAGGAGGGGTCTGTGTCCAGAGTATCAGACATCTTGTCGCAGATGGCATCCACCAGGCGCTCAAAGGCCTGCCTCACGCTGATGTTCTCCTTGGCACTGGCTTCAAAGAAGTCAAACCCTGAAGACAGAAGAGAGATTGGGATTGACATATATTATGTATAAGATAGATAACTAATGAATAGCTACTGTATAGCACAGAGAACTCTACTGAATGCTCTGGTGACCTAAATGGGAAGGAAATCCAAAAAAGGACCTAAATGGGAAGGAAATCCAAAAAAGAGGAGCTACATGTATGTGTGTGTTAGTCACTCAGTCATGTCTGACTCTTGGCAACCCCATGGACTGTAGCCCACTGGGCTCTTCCATCCCTGAGATTCTCCAGGCAAGAATACTGGAATGGGTAGCCATTCTCTTCTCCAGGGGATCTTCCTGACCCAGGGATCGAACCTGGGTCTCCTGCATAGCAGGCAGATTCTTTACTGGCTGAGCCCCAGGGAAGCCTGAATACATGTATATGTACAGCTAATTCACTTTGCTCTACAGTGTAAACTAACACATTATTGTAAAGCAACTATACTCCAATAAAATTTTTAAAAAGAGAGAGAAGAGGGATAGCAGTAAGGATTTTTCCCTTCCCTTTCATGCCCCCTTGATAGAACACTCTGCATTAATATAGCCAGTGCTCAGGCTTTGAAGCAAGGAGGACTTGCTTCTTCAAGGAGGTTTCTGCTTGAAGGAAATGGTTCAGTGACCCAGGATCCTGAGTCAGATTGTTCCTGGCTCTATCATTAACTAGCTGTGTAATCCCCAGCAAGTCACGTGTTTTTTTATGAATCAATTCCCTGGTTGGTAAATTGGGATAATCTCACCTATCTCATAGATTTATTTCAAGGATTAAACAAGAGAATGCAGGTAAAGTATACACTCCTGTACCTGATGGGGTGAGACAGCGTGAGAGTAATAATTAGATGTTTTTTGAGAGTGACTACGTGACTATGTATATACAACACTTCCATTTCTAAAGCATTGATTGAATGCCTTATTTCATTTGATCCTCATGTCACCCCGGGGGATGGAGGGTCCAGGCAGACCCTCTCCATTTCACTAACACCCACTCTGTGGCTCTGAGAAAAAAGCTGACCTGCCCAAGGTCATCAGTATAAGAAGCCTAAGCTTGTCCTTTTTGACCAGGGCTTTTGCTCCTCTTTCCTGGGCCCCCCGCTTACTGCAACCTGGCCAGCTCTAGTCTAGACTCTGGGAGGCACCCCAAGATCTTCACCAAATAAGTAAAACTCCATTTGCTCTTTCTACCCACAGACACACTGGCTTATCTCCCCTCTGAGGGCTTTCTCCTCCCTCAATTCCCAGGAATTACTCTGGATCTCTCCTGCCTCACAAGATCCTGACAAATGGCCCAGGAAAAACTGCATCTGAAGCGTGAGACTTTCTTATGTTTTGTGCCTTAAGACCCTTAAAGATATTTCCTGTGACAATGACCAGAACCTGGTTGTCCCAGGAGACGAGAAAAAGGTCCTCCTGATTCAGGCAAAGTGGCCGCTTCCCAACTGAGGAGTCCTAGCCAGGTTGGTGGCAGTCCTTAGATGCATGAACCTGCTTTCTCTGTTTCATCCCTGCACCAGCCTATTTCCTCCTCTTTTGTCTGTCCACCTTCCTCTTTCCCTTCCTTCCAAGTCCATCTTTTATTTCTCCTCAAAAACTTCCCTCTTTGGTTTTACCCATTTTGGCTCTTTTTCTCTTCTGTTCCTCATATTCCTTGGGATCATTAATATTTGTTGAGTACCTACTGTATGCCAGATGCTATGCTAGGAGCTTTACAAGTATTCTTACTTAATCCTCATAATAGCCTCTGAGGTAAATCTAATCAACTCCAATTTGTAAAAGAAAAACGAAGGCTCCAAGAGATTACATAACTCACACAAGGTCACGTGACTGTGTGAGTGGAAATTGGGTTTAGATCTGGGTTTGGCTGGCTTCCACGTCCATACACAGCCCTGCCTCTCATTTCTTCATCTTTCTCCCTTTCACTTTCCTTTTTCCTTTCTTTCTGCTCATATTTTTTTCTTACTTTACAAGTATCTTTGGCCTCCTTTGCTTTTATCTGTCTACCACAGTATCTGAATCTGGGCAAGTCACTTTATCTTTCCGAATCACTTAACCTCTCTGAGCCTCAGACTCCTCATTTGTCAAATAGGAATAATCACAGCATCTTCCTGCCAAGAGCAGTTGGGAGCATGGAGCCAGACGATGGATAAATTGCTGTACAAAGTTGCTTGTTACAATGACAGCTTCTCTCTGCTCTTCTTTCATCCACTCCTTTTACCTCCACTTCACCGCTTTCTCCCTCTTTGATCATCCTCTCATACACACAGGAGGGGAGTCTTTTTCCTCCTCCCTCTTTCTAATATCTCATTGTCCACAGAGAGGGCTAAAGCCCCCCAGGCACAAACAGGGCTCCTCTTCCCCAGGCCATCCCAGCCTGAAGGCATTCACAATTACGTTAGCTCACCTCTGGTGGACAGCCTCTTCTGGGGTCCACTTCCCGACCTGAGAAAGGCAAGCCATAGAAGTGCCTGCTAATTGAGGATGAGATAAAGAAGGAAGTGGGCGCTGGCTCATTATCCACAGGCTGTTGAAACTCAGCTGGCTTTAGAGACTCTTCAGCGTGTAGCCTGTCCTTAATGAATATCATAAAAATTGACTTTCTGGCCTTTGACGGGTTTGTTACAAGTGATACTGTTTAGGGAAGCAGGCAGTGTATGTTGCTTGCCTAGGAAAGGGGAAAATAGGTAAAGAAGTAAATAGGCTTAAATCATCAATTTGGATGAAGATGGGGACACAGATCAAGGCCAGGGGCACTGATCCCTTATGAGGAATTGGCACCAAGGGGAGGACATGCTCATTGCACAAGAGGGCAGTGGGTAAGAAGCCCAGGAGTCAGAAAGTCTGGATTTGAAGTTTCTGTCAGCTACCAGCTGTGTGACCTCAGGCAAGTTGCCTAATTTCTCACAGCCTGTTTCTTCATTTGTGGAATAGGTAAATATACCTCATAGAATGGGAATAAGGTTTAAATGCATAAAAGTATGTGAAGTGATTGGCATGTGAAATCCATGGCAATTCCCTTTCTCTTATCTTCCCAGCCCATCTGAGTCCTGGCTTCCCTGCCCCTCCATCATTCCCCAGGGCCTTTGGAGGAAAGCCTCTTTTTTTCTTCATCGTTCAGGGCCGATCAACAAACCAGGTCTTTACTGAACAATGACTTTGTACCATGTCTTGCACTGAGTGCCAGGGACAAAATAAGACCAAATCTAATCATGGAGAAAAGACACACCAATCAGAGTGTCAGTCCCTCACATGTGCATAGTCCTTAATGATTCACAAATACAAATTTAAAGCAACTTTGTGAGGGGAGTGGGGCAAGGCAAGGGTTATCATTTGTAATTTACAGATAGGAAAACTGAGGCTCAGGGACGGAGCATAAGCCAGGGCTCTTATTGCTTATGCGCCCTTGTCTCGCTCTCAGTTGGGACAGTGACAAACATATTATAACCCAGGTAGAGCAAACGAGAAGCTGTGCAGGAGTGCAGCAGAGGGAGAGAACGGAAGGGGAGGAGATGGGGAATAAGCTTCCAAAAGTTAGTAGAGAGGGGAGACTTTAAGGCCACAATCGAACAAAACTCTTCACCTAATGAACTTATGCTTTAAGCCTGAGCTTAGATATAGCTTCTTCATCCTCTGTGCTTCTTCTGCCACAGCACAGCTTACCCTGCACAGTGGAAGTCCATCTGACAAGGAGCTCCCCAAGCAGGGATCATGTCATTTATCCGAGCTCCAGCACTAGCCAGAGGAGTAAGGGCTTGCTGAATATTAACTGAATGAATGGACAGGTGGATGAAGGGGACAGGAATGAGCATGGAGGGTGTGGCTAGGGGGCTGTGGATAGTGAGGGTCATGAGAACTCACCTCAACAAGCAGGACAAATCCTGTGCTGGGCACTGGGGACACTGATGTGAATCATATGCAGCTCCCACTGTTGAGGAGCTCCTACTCTAGTGTGGAAGATAGATATATAGACAATGTTGGAAAGACAGGTAGCGAGGGGACTCTCAGGCGCACAGGAGGCACCTATCTAAGCCTGGGGCCCAAGGAAAGCTTCTTGGAAAAGCTGATTCCTAAGCATATATCAGCTATATAAAGCTATGTGGTGGTGGGGAGGGGGACTTCCCTGGTGGTCCAGTGGTTAATAATCCACCTGCCAATGCAGGAGACGTGGGTTCCATCCCTGGTCTGGGAAGATTCCACATGCCTCAGAGCAGCTAAGCCCATGGGCCACAACTACTGAGCCAGCGTTACAGAGCCTGTGCTCTGCAAAAAGAGAAGCCACGGCAATGAGAAGCCCATGCACCACAATGAACTGCAGACCCAGTTCAGCAATGAAGACCCAGCACAGCCAAAAATAAAGAAATAAATCTTAAAAAAAAAAAAAAAGGACACATAGTATGAGTGTAAGTGTGAGCACATACACATATAGAACACTAGGCCCAGGAAACAGCATAAACACATATAAGGGGGCAGAAAACAGCCTTTATTATCCCAGAATGCCCATAGCAGTTTGTTATCATTAGAGCAGAAAGCTCAAATTGGCGAGATAAGAGGCCATAGGTAACCAAACACAGACAGTGTGTATGTCATGCCAAGGAGATGTCATCACTGTCCTCAAAGGTGCCCAAGGTAGGAGACCTCTGATTCAAGTAAGCGGTGCATCACCCTAGCCAGCTCATGGGTCTCTTTTGCTATCAGAACAACCTCAAGTGCACCTCCAACCAATTACTGTCAGACTATTGGAAGGCTCTTCATTAGTAGGCCAAGATGGTAACCTTTTCCTCAGGTTCATTAGTGAGGAGTCTCAGGAGCTAAGAATCTGCAGAGCTCTGGAAGATGACAACCAATTAATCAGACTAGCCCCCAGTCCTTTCCTCCCTCTAATTGGCTTCAGAACAATGGAATTTCTGCTGCCTTTAACAGGGCCCAATTCTTAATTGAATCTGAGAAAATTCCCACCCCCCAAATGCTCCTGTTTACCCATCCTGTCCAAAGGCA